AGTCGCACGATACTCGAAATCGAACGAATTTTTGGCGAGGCTCTCTCGAAGAATCAACAATCTCTCGAACGTTTCATTAGCGTGATGCAAAAACCAAAAGTTATCTCCTCATAGCACCGAGTGCTCCTAGTGAACGCTTTCAGGTACAATATCGCGACAAACGAAGAAAACAGTCAACATGGCTTTGACTTTTGGCCAATTTTTGTGTCGTCAGGTAGTGATGCATTCCTGGTAGCTCAGAAACAATGTTTCCCAGATGTCAACGCAATAAGTTTTTTCCGAAAAAACGAATCAATCAAATCAATCGAGATTTTAAAGTGGTTTGGATTTCCCGCAGTCGAAATAAAGTCTCTATTTGCTAGTCGACGATTTCCGATTTTCGTAGGCTTTTGCCGGTAGATGCGGAAAATCATCCGCGACTCTATTCCTTCATTTTTTTGCGAAGAATCCTCGTCACCAAAAGCCACCTGTAACATCCTTAACATTTCCGCGGCAAATTATTCATTCCGCAGGACATATTTTGATTAAATTCAAGTATAGAAAAAATCGGAAAACTCACATGTAACTCTTCAGCAATTTTATGTATATAATGACATAAAATTTTGTCTAGATGCCAAAGAAGTCAGTGCCAATCCTCCAAAAGCAAAAATAATTTCTTTCTTCCATATCACCCGCGAAATTTCAAAGAAAAATTCATCTTAGTGTATATGCACCGTTTGTGGGAATCCTTATGTAATTAGAGGTCTCGAAAAATTATTTTATATAATTGAAACTTGCCTCAGTGAATTTTTTTGACTTGGAACTTTGTAAGAATCCTCCTCGAAATTAAATGTTGTGGCCAATTGAAGTCTTATTTTTTAGATATGGGAGAGTATCCAAGAAGAGATGCCATTCCAGGGAAATTTTTCACATTCGTGAAATATGCCAAAGTGCAATTTTTCAGCGATTCTTGTTAAGAAATACTAGAAAAGGAGAATTTTTTCCTGATAATGTCTTCTTGTCCTACACTACTTGCCAGTGCAAGGGTATAATAAATTTGTGCAACTATTTTATACAACATCCAGAAACACTAGAGGTGTAAACACACCCTTTTTCATAGCGATAGCAAGTGATTCGAAATCGATCTAAGCTTTTCTGTACCTCTGCTCATCCCATACATCCATATGTTCGACCTATACTTAGCATAGCTTAAGGGACCTTTTCCACCACTTCCCGTATAACGCTTCATTTTGAAAAGGTAATATATGAGTAACTGTAGTGTGGTGTAGAGTATATAATAATAGACCCTGACCCACTATAGTGTGGTCACTTATTTAAAATAGGCCTTTTCGTTGGCAACTGTCTCAAAACTATCCAAACCAATGCACTTTCAAAAACGTAGCATACCAGTATATCGAACTTTTTCTAAAATTTCTGAAAAATTCGTACGATCTATAAAGACACCAACCAGCAGACATAATTAAATCGGTTCGAAAAATTTATGCAAAATTTAAAAATTGGCGTTATAAACACTTAGACGCCAGACAACTTAATATTACCTGCGCTACAAATGAAGAAGAGTACAAAAATTAAAACGAGTAAAAAAACCGCCCACGACTCCCATTAAATCCCCTACACTATTTCCCATAATGCAGTTACTCATATACTGACTTGTATGGGAAGAAGTTGAAAATAATCAAATTCAAATCAATTTCAATAGAGCTCCTCCTTGGTCCAAAATAGATTGGTGTTCGAAATTTCTGTAGGTTGAACTCAAAAAATTAGAGCGACAAACAAGCTTAGAATCACTTTCTGTTGCAAGTCTTCCTAGGCGTTGTATACATCCGCACAAACTTGATATACCCACAGGTGGTGTAGGGCATATTATTATTCAACTTCAAGATATTCGTATCTAAAACGTACAACAGATAAGAGATATATAATAGCAATGACTCAAAGCAGTCTCGTTCGGCCGATTAATTGGCGAACGCATAACGACAAACTTACTGCAGATATTTACGATTCGTCTTAAGGCAGATGCCTACATTTATTCGTTATAACAGCTGCACAACGAATAGCACATGGCAAGAAGTTTTATGCCTCTACAATAATTTCACCTCGTATTGTATGTAGATTCTTCAAAGGTTATTGTTGCGTGTTACAAACGGCTTTCTTCCTACTCCTAGTATGACATAGTAGCAGAGTATGTGCTTTTGCTGCTAAAAACTACACGAAGTAAATAAAATTTGGAATTATTTTATTATTATTTATACATTACCTTCTGAAGAGTGAGCTTTTCTTTCTATTTTCCCATACCATAGTTTTCTTAGTTCCTGCATATTATGCTTAAGATGATAACGTATGACTTTATTATATTGATTTTGTTAGATGTGTACTATTGAACTACATTAACCCCCTTAATAAAAACGCTGAATTGTATGGAATTTTATTCATTATTAATCCAAAGCGATCCACATTTTTTTTATGCAAATGTGTTATCTGATATATCTTAGCTTTGAATTTTGTATAATTTTTTTTTAGCTTTCAAGTGGAATTTCATTTGTTCCGTTTTTTTTTTTTCTAGTATTGACGCAATAATTAAATTGAGTTTAAATTATTTATTATGGTACTTGATCACGCATATTTCACTTTGGAATTGGGTTGTATACAACACATTAATCACACTATAACATCCTAACTCATAAACGTCTATAAACGTTTAATGCTTCAAAAGTTTTTATTAAAATGGCATAACTTTAAAAAATAATAAATAAATAATAAAACACATACACATGCATTTCGTCTGCCTTCTTATAATATACAATGCAATAAGCGAATATCATTCAGTGCAGTATTATTACTATTATATATTATTCTTTTTTCACAAACAGCAATGAAACCAATATCATATCTTTACGAGATGCATGCTTACATCATATATGTACATACATACATACATACATGCATACATATATATGCGTATGTAAATAACCATTACAGTATTTATGCCTTTGTTTGTGTGTATCATTTAGTGGTTTTCGCTGCTACTGCTGACTACTGCTGCTATTACTACCGATTATGTGCTTTTCATTAAGTGGGCTGGCGAAATAATAATAATGATGTCCTCATAGGCGGTCCGTCCTCTTGTCTGTTGTTTATGACCGTGATTTTCATTCATCTGTGCTTATATTATAATAATAATAATAATAATAATAATAATAATCTGACGTGCACGAGCAATTTGTTGGAACGGTCGCCAAAAAAAAAAAAAAGGATATAAAAAAAAAAAACAAAAAAAATCGAAGGAAAGGAAGAAAAAAGAGGCGTCCATTTACATTTATTAACTTGTGTTTTGTGGGTGCAAAAAACTTTTATTACAGTCAAGCAGACCGAGGCAGCCCGAAAATATGTTACCAAAACAAACTGTGTTATATTTCGAACAAAGAAAAAATTATATGCATATTTAGTGAAAGTACTCCCTAGATTATATCTGTCTATGTATGCGTGCATGCGTTGAAACGAAATGAACTTGTTGCGTTTGTTTGCCATAAATTTTGTGGCGTTTCCAACAATAGCGACATTTAAATTTAGTTTTTCAGATTTTTTTTTTTGTTTTTTTTTTTTTTTTTGTGTCTGCGTAAATCCGTTTTAACTCAACTGCTGAGAATGAATGTAAACTAATCTTATCATTGTGTTTGTAGCTTTTTAAAGTATACTTTGCCAAACATTTCATTAAGTGCTCTGATCCAATGGGAATAGACTATCATTCAATCCTTGATGCTCTCCTTGAGATAGAGGTTATCATTCAATCCTTAAAAGTCAAATTTTTAATAGAATTATTCCCATTTTTCAATGAACACGGATCTGCGCATCAAACTGTAAACTGTCTGATATAGCCTAATACGAGTAATGAAAGAAAAAGTTAACTAAATCCGGGAATATTAAAAGAAATGTAACCGGGTTTCAGCGAAATGTATTCTATAAGCCGACCTAGTTTAATATGCGAACGTTCTAGACGCCACGGATGCACTCATTCTATAAGTAAATGTCTGTGAATCGCTTTGCTACGAATCCAAGACCAGGGCATCCGGTTCTAATTTTTTGCATTGCATTGCAAATACTTGCAATACTAGATTTAACCGTTAAACGTGTAAGAGATGAACCTTGAAAATCTCTCTTTCTGGATGGTCGTGAACACCAATGTAGCGACCGTGATGCAAGCTTTGCCTACATTTCACACGCATTTCAATCAAAGAGCACTTAACTGAAGGTGAGACGGGATTAGGTCTGATTTTTAGACGTTCAGGATTTTAAGAGCAAAGACGAGCTTGTCGATGTCTTCTTTTTTCCCTGCAATAGAATGAACGCCAAATGCATTAAGCATCGTTCCATACCTTGCCTGCTTTGATGGATATTTTTAAAAGTCGCAAGACAACCAAGACGCCACGACAGCGTAGTTCAAGCAGTGTAACTTGATGAGTGTTCAATATTCGTTTGATTAACAGACAGAATGTATTTAGTTTAGGTGACGGGTATCTAAAGTTCGCTTTAAGGCGAATTTTTATTTTTTTTTATACATCTTTGTTTTCGTTTTTGTTTGTTTTTTTTTTTTGTTATCGATTTTTAATTTCTCATAATACAAACAAGTTTTAAAGAAAAACATACTTTTGTGCTTTTCTCTCTGTTTTTCTTTGTTTTCTAATCTTTTATGCATGCTTCCATAAACAACGTAATGAAAAATCAAAACATATCAACTCGTTTCGATTTAAAATATTTGCAATTAACTCAAACTACATATTAATAATGATATCATCAACAATATAATCTGTATAATGAAAATCGCAATAAAAATAAAATTTTTCATTTTAATTAAACAAAAAAAAAAAAAAAAAATTACACACACAAACTGTTAATATTTTACTGCATGCTTTTTGAAAATGTTGTGTTTCTCTACTTAATCAACAACAACAACAACCACAACCACAACAACTACAACAACAACAAAAAAACCACTTCTTTAGCTTCTAGCAAAATACCGCCAAATGCTTCTTATGTTATATATACCGATGAAAATGGTCAGGTACTGTCAGCTTATCGTTCTTTGGTTTTCTAACAATTTTTTCTATATTTCCTTTATTATTATTATCATTAAATTTCATTTAATAATATAATTCTTATAAAACAGCTTCCTTTTTTATGTATAAAATATGACTTTTTTCAAGTTTATTATTTACTTCAAAAAAACAACAACAAAAAAACAACAAAGAAAAAAAAAATACCATAACATAAAAACCAAAAAACAGAAACTTTCAAATTGAGTGGAACGTAAGAAAGCAGCAAGTTTTTTTTTTTTTTTTTTAATATTTTGATTTGCTTCGAATTGGTACGAAATCAAATTTTTATTTACGAGGTAATAAGGGGTAGAAAAAAAAACACGAAAGGAAACTATAATCGAATCAAAGAAAAAGAAACAACATTTTAGCAAATCTTAAAGAAACTGCTTAAAATGAAACCAAGTGCAAGTTCCGAAACTTACTTGACAAGCCAATTATCTATCTCTCTCTCTCTCTCTCTCCGCTAAATTTAAATCAAAAGTTAAAAAGGATTCTTTAGAAATTTCATCAAATTTATGAATTCAAAGAAAAGCTTACCATCATTGAGAGAAGGAAATCTTCCGGTTGCATTGAGACGTTTCAGTGTTTTCCTAAGCTCTTTATAGATAGACATACTATTATCGAGAAACTAGAAACCTTATGATATACTTGAAATACTAACCACTACTTATCCATTGCAAAAGTGCTTAGTAGAGGTAATAAAGTTTGACGAACTCTTACATAACAACAATGCCCCTTCATTACATATAGTTTTAGAAATTCTTAAGTAAATGAAATATGGGATTCTAGAGTAAATTAATATATGTTAACCAAGCACAAGGGATTATGTCTGATGATTTTGAAAATTGTTGAGTTCACTTCTTTACATAACCCGAAATCGCTCGTGAAATTCTTTACTAAGCATAAGAGGAAAATATAGAAAATATTGAAAAAGTAAAAAATCGTCAGTCGTATGTTATAAAAAATAAAAATAACAATAATAATAATAATAATAATAATATATAAAACAACAATTCTTCAAGAGAATTACTTCGGTGAAACCTATTTAAACCAAATGGACTGCCTTAACGATTAACCAAAAAATGCGATAAACTTTTTTTCTGATGTTAATGTATCTGATGAAATGGAAGGGAGTAAGTGGCAAATGGTAACGATTAAAACAGCAAATCTACGAATTAAAAGAGATGAACAAATGTGACTGTATTTCAAACAACGTAGAGCAGATAGGTGGTACTATTTGTCGTATATAATTTATCTAAGAGCGTATGTGTGCATCGAGTTTGTTTATACTTTTACACAAAATTTCGATTAAACAAATTAATTACGTTTCCGCACCTCGATAGTAAACAAAATGGTAATTTAAGATGCACAACTCTTTGCAAGAATTTACTTACTTGCATTAGGTAGCAACAAGTAATGCATCATTCAATAAGTCGCTGGTCTGACACATTAATTGTCTTATATAATTTCTGGATAGTATATCAGTCTTCAAACAATACTAATAAAAGTTTCATGATATTCTTAACCCAGTTTTGTAATTTTCAAAGCTAGGGATGAAAGATAATCCGTGTGCTGATCGAAGAATGTTTTTTTGATGGGAAAAAACATTAGTCGGCCTTATCGGGACACTACACCGGGGAAAGCAACTATCATTCACTGTTATGCTGAATTTAAACGCAAGTGTACAAATATCCATAATGCTGAATACGCTCTGCTCTTCGTACTTCGGCAGTTATTCCAGAAAACAGTGCACAAAATTGCTTTGTGGGATAGAACCCCAAAGTTGCATGATATACATTATTTTTTCATGCTACATGCGAGAATGAATGAAGCATGGATTTATCACTATACTCAAGAGTCAAATCGACAGTTAGTCGAGAGATACCGGCAAAACCAGTCCGAAGCGACCAAAAGAGCAGCATCAAAGGAGCAACTGTAACTTGTAAAGCTTACAATTTAAAACTTATCGGAACATCATGAACTTTTTACCTATTTCGTTGATACTAATCAGGCATTACATGGCACCATATATCTGTTAGACCAGAGACTTATTGAGGGCTGTTATATACATAATTTGGACGATAGGACAATTTTTAAACTTACTGCGACCGAGATGGAATATTTTCGCTGATGTTCTGGCGCGTCCTCCACTAGAATATATATATATATATATTTATTCAATGACAAAACACCTACCGGGTTTTGATAATGGCGTTGGTGGGGTTTAACATTTTTTTTTTTTTTTCAATTTATGTGAAATTTGCTTAGTTTTCTGAAAACATTTAAAATATTTATAAATGATATATTTAATGAAAATTAACATATCGTTTCTGGTTTCTGTTTTTCTCCTTTTTTTATGCAAAAATATTTAAACGATTTAATACCACAGCCCATCCAATGGATCGGCGTCTCTTATATGCGCAGTGTCCTATGCTGATAAATGGCACTGTTTATATGATTAGGTAAATCTTCTTAGTAAATGCATCAAAAACTAAAACACAATTGACGATTTCTTACGTTGCTTCTTTAACCCTTTATCTTAGCTTAAAGCTTTCATTGTTGTGTCTGTGCGTGCGTGTGACTGTGCGCGTGTGTATGTATGTGTGTTTCTTACGATAGCGGAAAAGGATACAAAGTGAAAAAAAAATTACCTAGACTCCAATCCGTTTGTGATATGATCTTTAGGTGTCCCTTTAGACGAGAAGGAATCGCTCTGAGTATATTTAGTTGACTGTCTGAAGAAAAGGCATTAGGATGAGGAAAAGCCAGCCAGATACATCTAAAAATCTCTGTAAAAAATTCACGATGTAAACATTAAATTCTCCTCCCCATAATTTGAAACGATGCATAGAGAGTAAGAGAGGATGTCTATCTATCTCCCTTTGTCCTCGATGAAAATTCGCATCAATTTTAAGGCTTTAAGATGAAAATGCCGTTGCTTTGCTGTCCTCCTCTTCGTAGCAAGGGCTGATTGCTTTCCTCAACTTCCCTTTCCCCCTTGGGAGCCCAAACATCGACTTCTCCCTGAAGTCTCTTCTTGGCATTGCCACAGCGCGTACTTCCACCATCATTGAAGAACAATTTCCCTCTTTTGGAGCGGATTACTTACTTTCTTCTCTCTCCCTATTTGCAATATTTTAGGAGCCGCACTTTTCATATTCTTCGCTCAGATTCATTGACAAATGTGATACCAATTGCCGACCTTGATACAACTTTCCCAAATGTATTCCCCCGACTGTCCTTTACTTCTCAGCATTTGCAGCATCGCGAACGTTTTGAGCAGCCCACACTCCGACACTTGCATAGAATTGCGATCCTAAATCTGCTGCAGCTGTCGTCTATAAACTTATCTAACAGAACACCAATACATACCTCTTAAAACGTTCGAAATTGACACCTGTGTGGAAAACGCGAATATCTGCGAGCTGAGAGAGACGCAACTTGAAGGTTGACACCATATTCGCCTGAGCAGACTTTTTCGTCGTCTTTGAAATTAATTTCCATCATTTTTATTTATGGTCTCTCTCTCCTTTAATTATCTCTCAAATGCCAAACTCAACTTCCCATCCGTGATATAATCTTCTTCGCCATGCCTCGAAAAGAGCGTGACTAACCACAGGTTAGGTACACTGGTACACTATATAGTTATTTGAGCTCTACTGGAAATGACTGCAAGGACTTTTAACACAATCTTCATTTTCCCTGGGCCATAACTACGAGAATCATGGCCACTCCTTGAAGCTATCTCAAGCTTAGAGAGGGCGGTGCCGAACTGTTTATGTTTCGTAACTATTGCTTTAGCAGTTTAGGCTTCTTCTTTAGATCGTTTATGTTTCTTTATTTGTTTGTATTGACTCCATTTTTTGTACGCCAGCTTTTTCAGAAAACGCTTACCGTCTTATCCTCTAGATCTTGGTCTATTGTCCTTTTCTTCTTCTGTCTTCGAAATTGTGACTTGTCTTTACTTCTACAAAAAGCCCACACTTCAATTTATTTAACCTTTTAATGCCGTCCCGGATTTGATTCTCTTTCGCTTAGTTTGATTTTAATCATAGTGCGACTCGGGAGGCCTCCTTACTCTGCCTACCATATTTAATTTCCGCATTTTCCTTTTCCGGCTCCAAATGCCTTTGTTAAAGTTGGGCAACGTGATGATAGCCTTAAAAAGCCCTGTACTGATCCGCACTCTCAGAACGAATACCGATTACACCGCCCTGCCAAACTCCCTAATTTACTGATGCTCTGAGACTTTAATAAAAATAATCATTGGAACTTGAAAAATATATATTCAAATCAAATTAAACTATTTTGTAATATGTTTTTAAAATGTTTCTTATGGTTTTCTATAAATGCATTATTTTGTCGTCATGCACAAAAAAAAACTTTCTATCTTTAGTGTTTTGCAATTCATGTCTCTTAATATAATAACACTTCTTATCTATCAACGGAAAATTCAATACATTTCTCTTATTTTATAAATTACAATAACAATTTTAAATATATTCGCATAAAATTCTTTTACACAAAAAAAAAAAAAAAATAAAACAACACAAAAAAATAAAGAAAAATAGTTTGCGTTCTACATAAATATGTTCTTTTTTGTTTGTTTTTCTTTTTTCTCTTTCTTCTTTTGTATGAAACCAGTGCCGTCAATTAGGATCTGTAACTGTTATATTGTTAAGCAAACTACTTAAAGACTCAGTTCCTTTAAGGTGCTATACAAGAAAAAAAAAAAAAAAGTTAAAAAAATTTAAAAAAATAAATAAAAAATTAAAAAAGAAAACGCATTCACAATGTATCAAAAGACATTCTTCTTATCATCTGAAGTGATAAAAAAAAAAAAAAAAAAAAAACCAAAACCAAATTCTAAAATTTGACAGGAAATTACAGAAACTAAGCAAGTGAGTGTACGTTTATATTCTACTTAATATAATTGAAAAAGCTTTAGTTTTAGGCAGAGCTTTGAAGCTTCTTGAACTTATGTTTTTTAATTCCTTTCAAATTCTATGATTTTATGGGTGTGTTAACCAGAGAAAAAAAATAAAAAAAAATTAAAAATACAATTTGAAATTCTATTAAAAATTGCTTGGAATTTTGCAGATCTATAAGAATAAATTGTAAACTTGCTGCTTCCTTAAACTTTTGCCCGCTTCATTACAAATTTTAATTTTCAAGCTTTTTTAAAAGCACAAACTACTAGTAATAAGTAAATATAATTTTATATTTATATAAATATAAACAATATAGATTTTAATCTAATTCAAGTGTATTAAAAATATTTGTTTCATTCACTAATACTTATGTCTAAACAAATATTCTTAACGTGCATTCAATAATTCTAATGGACGAAACGAAGCGTTGATAGTAAATTTTCATGTTCATACTTACGTCATATAAGTACTGTATATATATATACATATGTATATATATATATATATACATATACATGCATATAAATCCTCATATATAAATTATATTATCTACAGATTTTACGCTTTGATCAAAAACTATCGGGAAATTGTCAATTACACCGCTTTTCCGATACATTCTTATCCTTTACATCCAAAAAGTATTTTCCAAAAATGATGCGTTAATAAGGTTACCTCAAATGACAAATCCAGATCTCCCCAACATAGCATTACTAGATCAAGATACGTTTGCGTTGACTAAAATATCACGTGTATTATATATATATACACTTGTTAGCGTTCTCTTTAGGGTTAAGTTTTCTTTTTTTATAGTGTCGATATTATTTGTTGTCGACTGTGCATGTAGGATACAGGAATAGCATGCCTACTAATCCCTTACATATTGAAAGAAACTTTCGCAAAACAGCTCTTGCGTAGAAGGGATTATTTCACTATTTTTAAAAGTCGTGGAGCCGATATCTCTGCTTTTTTCGCGTACGTTGCTAATTTTCACTTTCGTAAGAGTAACGACTTTCTAAGCGAGCTCCAAACTAGGTATTACTTTTGCATGAAGCCTTGGAAAAATCTTCAATAAAAGTCGGAGTATATCGATCAGTGCCTTTACGTCATAGAATCACAACACAAAACGTTTTTATATTGACTGAAATTAAAGTGAGAGATATACTTTCGATCATCTGTTGAGCTCACCGGATTTGGCGAAGAAAACGTAATTTTTCGCTTATCGGAACTACGGTTACCCTAACACAAAACCTACCGAATAAGATATACACTGTTAGGTGCTTGCATGTATGTTTTGATCAGTGACATCTATTGATGCTAATGATCAATGAAAATTATGAATGAAATTCGATACAGACAGACGTTGTAATCATGGAACGATCAAAATGGCATAACTTTTGTTGTTTCTTCAACATCGAGCTATAAAATAGTAGAACATAAGGCGGCAATAAAAGTTGGATTCCTCGGAAAAAAGTTTCGAAGAATCAATCCTTAGCCAGAAATAGTATTACCACGATGCAAGAATCGTCGATAGCTTAGCGAATAACTTTGGGCGTAAGAAGTTCTTGCAGGCCTTCATATCATGCCATTGCTGAAAATAGCTTCAGCTAAGTTATGTTGAAGGCGTTCATGTATCGCTTTCATGACCGCAAAAATGTGTACGTGTACCTTGCAGCTGCTTCCACACAAGTTTTGTTAGACCTAAATTAAATTTTCAATGTTTGCGGGTCATGACATGGACATAACAGAATCTTCGAGAAATTTTCGCAAAATTATTATATATTCTGCCATTGTCTAAACAATGCGTATGAGATCAAATCCTGGAAAAGGATTTATCGTAGAAAAACTCTTCACGACGTTAATATTTATCAAAAGATCGTCTAATTGACAAACTCCCTCCGCTTTTTGATCATAGTGTCGAAAATATTTTTACATTTATTATAAGTATGTTGTATATATATATTCTATTAAATATTTCATGTTTTCATAAGATTTACAAAA